TTGTTTAACATGGAGTTATTGGTTCATATTTATACTTGTTTAACATGTAGTTATTGGTTCATATTTATACTTGTTTAACATGGAGTTATTGGTTCATATTTATACTTGTTTAACATGTAGTTATTGGTTCATATTTATACTTGTTTAACATGGAGTTATTGGTTCATATTTATACTTGTTTAACATGGAGGTATTGGTTCATATTTATACTTTTTATATTACTTCATATTTAGACTTTATACTGTTTATAGAGTAATATATCCTTTAGTTGCTGTATTCACTTTTCGCCGATATTTTTTATTGCAGTGGTTATAACCAGTGCATTGGCAGATGATCTAGCTGATATGATGACAGTGACATCTAGTGGTGGCAATGACAACTATGATTTTGGAACAGACTTCAAGTAGTCAACGGAAGAAATTGCTGCGAGAAATTCTTGTACAGAGCAAAAATTTTAATAAAAGGTAAGATTAGGAGTACACCTCGTATATTTTGAATATAATAGCAACAGTGTTGTTTAAACTCGCACAAAATACACGGAAGACTCGATTTAACAACACATATTTATTAAATCATTTAATGTTATGCAATATTATCGTTGCATGTGATCTATGCAACACATGGTATTCTATCTTACACTCCAAGTAGAAATATGGTCAGGATAAACAATTACAGATTAATTGATTTGTCAACTCTTAGTCGGTTTCTGCGAAACGAAAACTTACACGAATCTACACGAAACCCAAATGTCAGTTTACACCCACATTTACCTAATATTCTGCCTAGTTAGGCTAATTTGGCCAAACAACACACTTCGTCGTTGCCTCTCTCGTATATTGGTAGTGTACATAGTTCTGCTTCAAATTAAAAAAATTCCTCATTCTTAATTAATTAATTCGGAGATCCATTAGAATTTCAATGGTAACTGCGCCGTGCGATTGGCCAATTATGCTGCTTGCTGTAACCTTTTGCGATTCCGCGAAACGAAGGAGATCGGTGGCAAACAAACCCCCTCCCTCCCCGTGCACGACTCCGCACGTCCCACCCACGGGACCCCCCCCCATGTTAGCACACATCACTCGCTTCCAGTAACAACAGACAACACTGGATCTATTCTACGTGCGCCGTTCTGAAAACGTCCCCGTGATGCACGGACTATCGCCGTGGTTACGACACGCAGATTTTGTCAGCCTCGCGCGACGCCAAATAAAAGGACCATCTATGCCGAATCACAGACGACACGGATAACGAGCAGACAGCAAGCTTAACGAGGCCAGGGGTCAAAGTCAAAGCCGCCGCGACCGCGGAACTACGCCACGAACATCGGAAACATCCACGAAATGCGAAACCCGGTCGGCGTTGGGAGTTTATGCTATAAATATTCATAATGTCGACTGACACTGACCCTACACAGCACACAGCAGACCCTACACACGTGTACAGTGCATTGCATGCCGGGCTATGTCCGAGCGTTTTCTCCCGCCACGCCCGCACGGGAACTACCAGGTTGAATCGTTCGCGCCGGGGGGGGGGGGGGGGGGGGACCATGCAGAATTTTAGTCTGAGATAAAAGATTGAATTAATTAAGGAATGCTTGAGCGTTCCTTCATCTCTTATATACACATCCGCTCTCTCTCTCCTCTCTCTGTTTTCTCTCTCTGTCTCCATCACCATCTACGAATCAGCCCGCCGAAATCTCCTCTAATAAATGTTTCGATAACCACATAATAATATTATTTATGCGTCATAATATGTAGGTCGAGCCGCTAACTCGGAAGACCACATGCCACTAGCACTCACGCAAAGCATAACAAATTATATGTTGATTCCATTATTGCCGATAAAACTGAGACTGCCATTACAGACGTCTATAAACAAGCGAGCATGCACGCGAGATGGGCCATTAGTGCTGCAGCAGAAATCCAGTAACCCTACCCCGGAGCTACCATACCCCTCACCCAGGCTACCTACCCTCACCCCGGGCTACCACACAGTGCACACACCCTCCACCCGGGCTACATACACCATCCCCTGTTTAGGCCCCACCCCCTAGTTCTAGTATGCCCTCCCCAGCTTTCAACACCTCCCGCGTAGGTCGTTCGCCCCACACCACCCCTGGTTCCCCGTACAAGCCTCACAACATGAACACTCGTGGCATGTTAGCAGCAATCATTCCGACTCGAATCGTTTACGACGACGGTTTGCCGCGGCAACCTCCGATCGCAAACGCACATTTGATCTGTAACACGTCGTGAGCAACACCATACTTGTCGTCGTCGTCGTCGTGGCTAACCACCGCCGCCGGCCACACCATACTGTCGTCGTCGTAGTGGCAACACCGCCGCGGCCACCCATATTTTGTCGTCGTCGTCGTGTTCCATGGCGCGCGTTGCCGCCGTGACGGATCGCTGCCTCAGTCTCCCTTTTGGCGGTGGCTGCGGGCGTGGCGTGAAACCCGTGACCTCGTCGTAAACGTAACCTGCAACGAATCCGACAACAAGAGAGCGTCAGACGTAGTCACGGTAACGAAAGATTATTAACGACAAGGCGCCGACAATCTCGGACTCCCGTCCCACCCTTCAGACTAATTATAGACTGACGCCCCTCGCCAACAATCTCAGACCATTTTTGACTACTGCCCCACCCTTCAGACTAATTATAGACTGACGACGCCCCCTCTATCTCCTGCTCTCGCGTGCCTGCTGCTGCGGCACTCACGTTTCCACTCGGGCACAAGCAGGTCCAACGCTTCGAACGACTGGTCGTACGTGTCTGCCATCGGTTCATCGCTCGGATCAGCGTACTGGGCGAAGTACGGGTGAGCGAGCGCCTGCTCAGCCGTGATGCGATTGTCAGCATCCAGCGCAAGCATCTTCTCAAGCACGTCGATCGCTACGGCAACGCAACAACAACGACGGTGTCAGGCGGTGGCTACGGCAACGCAGCAACAACGACAGTTGGTTGCTACAGCAACACGACGACAGACGGTTGCTACGGCTATGCAACAATGATCGGCCGTCACTACGGCAACACAGCAACAACAAGTCGGTCGCTACGGTGACGCAGTGCGGTCAGACGATGATCACAACGTATGTTGATCAATTTAAAAATAATAATTTGACGTGATAGATATTATAATTTAGGTTTCGACATTCCAGACGTTTATTTCTCTCGTAGATCGTTCTGAGTCGATCATTTCGACTTACCAAGGTCGCTGGCGTTTACGAAATACGTCGCAAAGTTTTTCCTCGGCATTCTGGGTAAAGACTTGATGTAGTTTCTGGCCTGAAAGACAACGAACGAACGTCATTGGCTTTTCGACGGAGCGTGAAGCCTGAGTTTTACTCAGGTAAAGGACCAGCGAATAAGGTTTTATAAGGGGTATGCATGTAATAGCATAGCTACAGGCTTGTTCAACGACCGGTGAATCAGACACGAGGGACTACGCATGTACATGCGGTTAGCGTTGGTGGTTTTATTTCTCGCCTCACCTCATCACTGCTAATCTTACTAAGCTGGTCATCCGTCGGCGTTCCCACCAGCGCCATGATTCTCGTCAGCTGATCGATATCTGGACATCGGTCAAGGCAACCTTCACACCCTAGCGCCACCTGATGGCAGCATCTCGCGCCGAGCGACGGCCCGGGAAGATGGTAATAATCGCAGACGTCGTTAGTGCACTTAACGAGTGTTAGTCTCGGGGCATGCAGATATGCACGAATGTTGCCATACAACACGTACATGCACGCACGTAAGCACGCAGTCTCATGCGATCGTTACTGAGTCTGTAGCGTCATGCCTCAGGGAGGAGAGGGAGGACGGGGAGGAGGGGGAGGAGGGGGAGGAAAGGAGGGAGAGGGGAGATGGTGGATAGCGTCGTGAAGGGGATGCAGAGGAAGGAAGGGTTACTTTCGGTCGTTCGTGCGCACTGCCGGTATGCCTGTTGCCAAGGATGACGCCGGTCCCTGTTACCCTGGAAACAGAGTCTTCCCGTCGAGCAACTCGGCCATAATGCAGTCCGACTGACCACATATCAACTGAAACAGACCGAAAAAACAAAAGGAGAAAACCGATATAGTTGCTTCACTCTGCAGGAGGTGGGACAGGGTCGAGAGAGAAAGATGGTGGTGCGCAGCGAGAGAAGAGAGAGCAGAGAGAGAGAGAGAGAGGAAGAGAGAGAGGGAAGGGAGGGAGGAGGGAGGGAGGGAGGGAGGGAGGGAGGGAGGGAGGGAGGGAGTGGAGGGAGGGAGGGAGGGAGGGAGGGGGGAGAAAGAGAGAGAGGAGGAGAAAAGAGAGAGGAGAGAGAGACGCGAGCGCAGAGAGAGCAGATGAGAGAGAGAGAGAGAGAGCGAGAGCGGAGAGAGAGAGAGAGGAGTAGGACGAGAGAGAGAGGACGAGGAGACGAGATGGAGAGAGAGAGAGGAGCAGAGAGAGAGAGAGCGAGAGAGAGAGAGAGAGCACGCAGAGAAGAGCAGAGAGAGGAGAAAAGAGAGATGAGAGAGAAGAGAAGGCGAGACGAAGCGAGAGAGAGACGAGAGGAGA